CAAATGCAGGTTTCGGCTGTGGTTCTACAGCTGTAATGCAATTGGCTTTCAGACTTCAATCCTGTCATTCCAATTTCCTGAACGTCAGCACCAGTGCCTCCGAAATTTTGTGAATGGAGACGCGTGAGTTTCTTTCATGTTTACCAATGTCTAAACTGATCCTGTACTGTGTAGCTGGGAGAGATAAACAATATCAATAGCTAGTTTTAAACCTCATTTGGTGTCTAAGCAGGTCTGCTTTCAAAGGATATGAAAAATAAATTACTGATGATACTATTCAAAAGGTTTCTATACATTAAAGCAGATTTGCAAGATATTCCTACATGGTCATATTGTGGTTTGCTATGTATGGTTGCAGAAAGGTACTAAAGGAACTAAATACTTGAGTGAAGGGGTTTGAGAGTAATTTATGAACAGAGCTGTAAATGCTTAACCTTTGTGTAGACTGGGTCACATAAATGTTCAAATAAGTTTTACAAAGAACAGCCGGCAGTTGGAGATACGCTCAGCAGCAGGCAAATAATTTCATTCACTTTTGTAGGCAAACACTCTAACATGCCTACATTTTTTTGTAAATACAGTAGCCTAAAGTAACTACTTCTTCTGAAAGGTGGGTGGGTGTAAAAAAAAAAAATCAAAAAAAAAATCACACCTTCCTCTAAGACTGTGGAAGACTACTTAGTACCAAGGGAGTTTGGACAAGGACTTTATGCTGTCCACCAGGTCATTACAGAGCAATCAAGCTCTCATACACTGTTGTCACTATGATAAAAATAACAAAATATGAATGTTCTTTTATGGCTTCATTCTGTTCTACTTGTTTGTCTGCATACCTGGGAAAGTTTCTGCAACTGTGCATGGCTTTTGGTTATGTTGTTTGGGTTTGTGGTTTTGTGTTTTTTTTAATATTACCTTGCATATTTAGTGTTTTATGGAAAAACAGAAAACTGAAGTAACTACAGGTTCAATAATACTCTTTGGGAAAAGGCTATCTGAGAGATCACACTACTTATGCTATAGTTAGTACTTTAAAGCATAAAGTGCTATAGTTAGTACTTTAAAGCATAAAGATATATTTTCTGTGGACTTAAAGGCAAAAGTAATTTAGGTATTCTATGATACCAAGTGTTTTTTCATGACCACCATGATCTGTGATGCACTGTTCTTAAATCTAAAGTCTTCCTCCTTTATGTAGAAATCTGAGAATTTGGGCTGTCTGAATAGTTAGAAAGAAATTTGGGGAAGGATCCAGATTAATTAGAAATTCAGCATCTGAACTAAAATAGAATACTTGTCATTAAAAAAAACTTTTAAAAGTCTCATCTGTCACTTCAGTAAATAGGTGCTATACTCCAATTATCTCTTCTATTTTAATAGACAGGACTTTTATTTAACTATGTTATGCAGGCAAGATATGTTCATTTGTAGCAAGCACAGTTACATGAGGTAGGAGAATATATTGCCTTTCTACGTTTAATGTGGATGGCTGGTCCGGAGGAACAAGGAAGAGGACCCATATGCAGTAACTGTAGGAAAATAGTCTGGTGATATTTTAACTGAAGAAAAAGAGGATTTGGTATACAGAACTCATCAGCTTGCTTGTACTAAAAAAAACATGCTAAAGATCATTGTGAAAATACTGTTGGTGGCACAGAAATGAAAACTTTAGTCATAAACTGCTATGAAAGGAAATTGAGCTCTTTATATGCACCATATCAAGGAGGAAACATGGCTAGAAAGGCAGAGAACAGAATTGTAAATTTTTTGATTCACCATTACTGAGTGTAACTAATTTCTAGTGAAGTTGATAATAGAAAAAAATACTTTAGCCTAGATTTCAATCTGTCCATATCATAAAAATGTTAGAATACTTGTGGGTTTTGAGTGATTTTTCAAACATCAGTTGGGGAGAAAAAAAAACCAAACCAACAAACCTTCCCCAATTTCCAAAGGAACCAGACCCGTTTCCTTCTCAGGCACTTTGGTGTGAGCATTAGTCCTGAAAAGAGAGAAACGCTCCCTCCTCACAGCATGTTTCTGAGGGTGAAAATGAAAGCCCGAGAGGCCTCTGTTTCAAACCAGGATTTTCAAATGGCTCAGTCAGGACCTTCTACAAATCAGTCAGTCCTCTGCTGCAGGCCCACGTGATTCTCTCTCCCCCTCCTCTAAATACCCACCCATAGAAGGTTATTTTGCTTAATATACTACATAAAATAAATCGAGATTATTAAACAAAAAGTAATCCTCGGAAGTTTTATGCCCAGTTCTAAGCCTGGAATTTCAACAGGGCTACTAATAACATCCATCTCTGAGTAGATCAATAGTAGTAAGTGATCAATACCCAACACTCCTTTTTTTTTCAACAAGACAGGGCTGATAAAAAGAAAAAAAAGTCCTTTGTCTTTTCGGGAAAAAAAAAAACCAAACCAACAAAAAGCAACCTAAAACCCCTCAAAAGCTAACACCCGTAAGAAAACCCAATTTGACAACTGTGTAACAAGCAAGCATTGTTTAAAACCAGCCCCGCGATTCTCATCTTGTTTCCGAGCAACGCGGCCGCCGGGCTTTCCCATGTTCCCCCCCTCTGCTTGAAAAACATTTTCGATTAACACATTGCCACAATGACTCACTCCTGAGGGAGGGCACTGCAAAAAGCAGGAGGTTTGCTCGCCTGATTTCTCAAGGGGCACTTTTAAAGAACAAAGGAACCCCCCCAGCCCTCGGGCAGCCTCATTCGGAGAGCCCCAGCTCCCGGCGGTGCGTTCCTGGCTCCCCTTCCGGCAGAGCTGTTTCCTTCCGCGTAAGATGCTACTGAATGAAAAAGGAATAAAAGCCTGTATTATCTACAGCTGCCTAACAAAGGAGGGAATGCGGTTTCCTCTTACAGTGGGGAAAAAAAAAAACAACCAACAACAAAAACCAGACCAAACCAGTATGCTCCGAGGAAACACAGAGGGGAGCGGCGCTTTCGCTGCCTTCCAGTGGGGTGGACTCCCCGAGGCACCAATGGCAGAGAGGCTCCTTCCTGTAAATCCCAACCTCTCGCTGATTATCTTTAGTTATGTCCCCCTGACACCTCCCTTCCCTTTTTGAAACCTCTCTCTGACCGTGCACGAGGCTCTGCCTGCCCCTCCGGCCCCTACCGCCAAGAAGCCGAAGGCGGCAGCCTGATCGCTCAGGCCGTGACCGCCTCCAAGGAGCTCAAGGGGCTCCCACGCTCAAGGCCAAGACAGCAGCGAAGATCCCTAAGAAACCGGCGGCCGCCGCGGCCAAGAGCCCCCAAAAGGCGGTTAAGGCTGCCAAGCCCCCAAAAATAAGGCGGCACCGAAGAGCGCTGCCAAACAGAAGGTGGCAGCGCCCAGGAGGCGATACTGTAAGAGGGAAGGATTCGTTTTGCAGATAAAACCAACAGTGCTTTTAAAATCCACCCACAGCTAGAAGGAAGAAGAACTGAAACATCAGTTCAAGTCTGGACTGGTACAGGATGATCCCCTGCCATGAGTGGATGTGACCTCCCGTAGTGCTTGTACACGAACTTACATGCTGTGGAACAGTAAAATTTAACCTATTCTATTGCAACTTGTGATCCTCCAT